GTGTCACAGGACTAGGTTCTATTTGTTCTATGAGTTGGAACAGACTTGTCAGCACCTAACAACACACAACAGGGAGTCCCTTGGTAGTGTGAATTGTTAAATGATTGAGGTAGAAATGTTGGTGGTTCAAACTCATCCAGAGGCCCTTCAGAAAACACTAAATCAGGATTACCACTTAATTTTGGGAAATACTGGTTTAATACTTATTTAATTTCATTCTTACATTTTAAAGATTAGAAAAGAGGTCCTGATTGGTTAAGGGAATTGCTCTGAGGGCACCCAGTCAAATAGTGAAAAATCTGAGTCTTTCTAGCTTCTAAGTTCCCTAGTGCAATGATAAACCAAAGATATCACTTTGGCATACCATACCATACCATACCATACCATATCATATATCATATCATATCACAAGTGTAAAGATATCACTTGTCATAGCATATAAAAATGATCAGTGTACCTGTCTGTCATGAGAACTATCTGGTAAGCAATTTGAGGGCAGAAACTGTATTATCCAATTTAAAGACACAATGTCTGGATGATAACAACAAGAAAATCCAAACTCACTGCCATCGAGTTGGATCCAATTCATAGCAGCCCCTCCTTGGGTTTCCGAGGCGATGTCTCTATGGAAGTAGATTCCTCAGTCTTCCTTCTGAAGAGTAGCTGGTGGATTTGAACTGCCAGCCTTCTGGTTAGTGGTCAAATGCCTTAGGTACTAAATGCTCCATAAATTTTGAAGAAAAAGACTCAGCTGGATTCTAATATTTATTAATTATTCTATATGTCTGAGTCAATATCATAATATATAATTATTAAGCAATGCTGCTGCTGCTGCTGATAATAGTGGCAGGATGGGCAAACAATAATCAACTATCTTGAAGCATTTTTGTTTCTTTGCTTTTTGTCCTGAACCCTTCATGGAATCATTATATTCAATACCTTGGACTTCTCAGTGGTCCCAGACATCTTAAGCATTATTTATTGGCCTTTCCAATGAAAGAAATACCTTTTCTATGACTTATAGAGGGAGAGATGTCCTCCAAGTCAGAGGTCAGGTTAGGACATTGTGTCCCTCATATTTTGGTCTTCTAGTACTGCTCTAACAGAAAAATACCACAAATGAGCAACTTTAACAAAGAGGAGTTTATTCTCTTATAGTTTATGAGGCTAGAAGTCCGAGTTCAAAGTGCCAGCTCTACTGGCTGGGTGAAGGTCCCTTGACCTTGGACTTCAGCTCTGTCTATTGCTCCTGGCCCACTGAAGCTAGAGGCTTCTTTTAACTTGGGCAGCTGCTGGCTGCTGAGGCTGACAAATAAAATGCCACAGTCCTACGGTTACCAAACAACATGGCAGGCTACTAGTTCAAGTCCAGAGACAGTCCCAAGATCAGCAGGAAATATGGCTGGTTGCTGAATGAAGACTCACTTACACACAGGGTCCAAGTGTGCCAAAAACCTGCAGAGACCTCAAAGTTTCTTATATACTGGAAGAAGACCACATCCTAAGGCAGCTACTCAGTTGCTCCAGTAGGTTCTACCATGGAGTTGATTACCAGTCTCATCATAGGGAATAATTACATACAACTGTCCAGCCACTTGAAACCAGGCCCAGCCAAGTTGCCACACTACTTAACTACCACACCTCACGTCATACTACAATGGAGATAAAACTTAGTTATATGTTATGGTGGCTTGTCCCACAATAGGTGCTCATCAGATACTTAATGACTAGTTGGCTATATTCTATAGATGTCATCCTTTGGCCTGGGCATTTGGATGGCTTGGGGGTGGTGCTCTTAAGAGACCAGAAATTCTTATTCTTCAGCTCACAGTTAAGACTGAGATGTACAAACAGAAAGAAATAGAGTATCTGGCCCATGTTAGACACTTAACAACTATTTTGTTAAATGAATGAATTTAGAAATTTGAGCTCAACAGGAAGAGAAACATTCTAATACAATGCTTTATTTCTTAGATCAGACTTAATGAACATCCTTTATATCTGAATTGTGTGTATAACCCCAAAAAAGTTTTCATGACCAAGCCTGGTAGATGTTGTTGTTGTTATGTGCTGTCGAGTCGGCCCGACTCATAGCGACCCCTCCTTGGGTTTCAGAGGCAGTATCACTATGGAAGTAGATTGCCCCATCTTCCTTCCGAGGAGTGGCTGGTGGGTTTGAACCACCAGCCTTCTGGTTAGCAGTCAAGTGCCTTGCCACTATGTTACCAGAGCTCCCAGCCTGGTAGATAGGTCAAGGCAATTTTCTTGAAGATGTAACCAAGCCCAAAAAGAATTAAGAGATGCTTAGAGCCCCAGGGCATCCTTCTGAATGTAAGTGACATGATCATTCCAGGGTCTAGAGTCCTAGGGCTCCAGACAGAGAGGGAAGAAGGAAGTTCACGGTTATGCAGAGGTTGATCAGGTCTGGTTTGCTCTAGAACCAACTATTGTCATTGTCTGGGTCTTCCTTATGGTGCACTTCAATCTCTGGCATGAGGATGATAAATTACCCTGGTGGATGGGTTCGGTAGAGACTGGAAACAGTTTTTCTGGAGAGGAAGACAGTGGGGTGGTTTTAAGACTCCATTCCTCTCCTAATCCTGGTGGTTTGTATTTTATCAAGATCTGTCTGGCTTATCTCTCCCACTCTATCAACCTGTCCCATGATACCATTTCCTTCAGAGCATTACACTTACCACTATACCACTGAGTCAATTCTGACTCATAGTGACCCCAAGTGTTTCAGAGTAGAACAAAAAACAATCCATTTCCATCAAGTCATAGCAACCCTATGAGTAGAACTGCCCACAGGAGCTCCAAGGTTGTAAATCTTTACAGAAGCAAACTGCCACATCTTTCTCCTATGGAGCAGCTGTTGGGTTTGAAGCACCTATCTTTTGCTTAACAACTGAGTGCTTAACCACTGCACCACCAAATCCAAATCCACTGTCACTGAGTTAATTCCTACTCATAGCAACCCTGTAGGACAGAGCACAACTGTCCCATATGGTTTCCAAAGCTATAATATAGATATATTTTTTCATGATTATGGGGTTTATTACAGAAGTAACAGGTTCAGGGACACTCAGGATAAAATTCTTTGATTAGAACAGACTCCTCCCTATGCTGTAATCTTTATGGAAGCAGACTGCCATATCTTTCTCCCATGGAGTGGCTGATGGGTTCAAACCACTGACCTTTCAGTTGGCAGCTGAGTGCTTTGACTGTTGTGCCACCAGGTTTCCTTAAGGCATCTCTAGTTGGGTTCAAACTGCCAACCATTTTGTTAGTAGCTGAATGCTTAACCATTTGCACCACTCAGGAAGCCACACTTACCATTGTTGTTGTTATGTGCCGTCGAGTCAGCTCCGACTCATAGCGACCCCTCCTTGGGTATCCGAGGCAGTGTCACTACAGAAGTAGATTGGCCAACCTTCCTTCTGAGGTGTGGCTGGTGGGTTTGAACTGCCAGCCTTCTAGTTAGGCACTAACTAGCCTTAGGCACTATGCTACCAGAGCTCCCACACTTACCATTAGAGATACCATTAGAGACAAATAATTTCTGAAAATGTTGAATCATGTAAGAAAAAGAACCACATTTTGATAAATAGGAATTGGGGAGAAGTAGAGATATAGATATTTAAAAAAAAAGAAATTTTGGTTAAAAGTCGTTTAGCAAATTTAGGAAGAGAAATATTCCTCTTACTTCCTGTACCCAGAGCTTTTTGAACCACATCTTGCTTGCTTTTAGTCTCTCCAAGAGAATGAAAATTTACCATTGCTTTTGACCACTCCGTGCCAGCGCTTAGAGGCCTGGTTTAGAGGGAGGAGAGTATCCAGCAACCCAGAGCAAGAATGTCTGGTTTTCAATCTTGTCCATATTAATCTATGTGTTTGTGATAACAGTGTAGCCAAGAGAGTTCTCCCTGACTGCGAATACTGAGCATGACTGATGCCTGAGTCAGGTGCATATGGAGACTTTCATTTCCTTTTGTCAGTCATCTTTCAGAATAATCTAGTTTCATGATGTAATTTTGGTGGAATTAAATGTAAACACTTCAATTGTATAATTCATTAATTCTAGCTTTAATTATACTTACAAATTGATCCAAAACTTCAGGTTGGACTCTTGGGCCAGAGGTCAGTGCACAATGGCATAAGTGACTGACAAGAATTAATGAAGCTTTAATGACCTATATGAGCTGGCTAGTCATGTAAGCACTTGTTAAAAATCTCAAGTGCACTTAAATCCTAAGGTGGGAATGACCAAAAATGTCCACCCTTTTCCCATCAAGCAGCAGATCAGAAGGTGGAGGGTTTAAACCAAAAGTCAGTGACAGGAAGCCACAGAGTTGGCATAGAATCCTATCTCCTCTGGTAGAAACAATGGCGCCCTAACAGAAAAATATGAGTTCCCCTTTGAGAATGGTTCTGAACTGTCTCTCCAGTACATTAAAACTCTACTCAATCTGGGTTGTTAAAATCTTTTGTAGCTCTCTAGTGTGAGTCAGAACTAATACAAAACTACGTAATTTCTAACATGAGCAGACACAATGCTTTCCACAATGTTTCCATATTCATCTCTCCTCTTACTCCCCAATTTCTTCTCTTCTTATGGATATTTCCCATCTTTTACATTTTTCTTTACCTAATGATTTATGCTTCGTTCTGGTTCTCATCAATTCTTACCATATTTGTGTTTCTCTTTCTGTCTGCTTTATCTCTTTCTGTATTCTCCTCCCTTTTCCTCTTTTTCTCCCTGTGTCTTGCCACTTCCCTTTATCCCTCTATTTTCCCCTCATCTTTTATCCTAGTTGCCCCTTTCCTTTCCTTTCTCTCCATCTCCATCTCTTTGAAAAACTTTCTCATATAGGTTTCCTCACTTGTGTGAATTCCTCACACTTTTTTTTTTTTTTAACCACCACTCCCCATGCCCACCTTTCTTCCTCAGATACTTTCATTCCTATAATGTCTCTCACATACCTGGACCAAATACTCACCACAAAGAAGCCAAGTCCAACAAAGAGTGTGACAGTGACTGTGGTTGCAGCCAGGGAAATGAGGATGATTCTAATGGATTTCTGGACTCCAGTGGGTATCACTGTTGTTATTGGATCCTTAGGGGTAGTTCCTTCAGGTTGAGTGTCTGGATTTTCAGTGGTAAAGGCCTCTGTGATCACCGGGTCTGCAGTGGGAGAATCCTGTATGGTCCCTGGATTTGCAGTGGTAGAATCCTCTATGATCCCTGGGTCTACAGTGATAAAGTCCCCCATGATCCCTGGGTCAGCAGTGGGAGAGTCCTTAGTGGTCCCCAGGTCTGCAGTGGGAGAGTCCTCCGTGATCCTTGGGTCTGCAGTGGGAGAGGCCTCAGTGGTTCCTGGGTCTGCAGTGGTAGAATCCTCTGTGATTTGTTGGTCCATAGTGATAGAGTCCTCTGTGATCCCTGGGTCTTCAGTGATAGAGTCCTCTGTGATCCCCGGGTCTGCAGGGGGAGAGTCCCCAGTGGTCCCTGGGTCTGCAGGGGGAGAGTTCTCTGTGGTCCCTGATTTCTCCAGGCTGGTTTCTGGATTCTTAATGGTAACATTTTGGCTTGTTCCTACTCAAAAAAGTAATGTCTTTTAATGTCTATCATTGTTGGCCTATCCTCATCTGCCCTGCTTAAAATTGTCATAATCATTCTTTCCATACAAATAACACTTCCCTCCAGATAATGTGATTAGATTTATTTGTATTAAGGCACATCTGATACTTTGGATTTAATTCTGATAAAACACATTCCACATGGATTCCTCTTACACTATAACATGGATTATCCAGAGCTGGTCATGCCCTTAGGATGGCCACAGCTCTGCTCCCCCAGACTTTGCTTCTGTCCTTTCAAGCCCTCCTAGATTTCCATGAACTAGTAAATTTGACTCTCAGTCTCATTCCCTCCTGAGCTGGTCTTTCAGCAATTTAGGTGTTCTGACTCCATCTTTGTATATATCTCCTCTCATCCGGTTATGCCTGGGGCTCTAATGACAAATGACACAGGAGCTGTGATTCATATTAGGTATTAAATTCAGGTCCCGGCTTGGTACAATTTAGAATGAGACAGCTCCAGGGTCAGGTCTGGGGCTGAAGTGGCTAGCTTGGAAGCAGGCAAAATTCAAGTTGGTTTAGGAGTAAGATTGGGGAGGAGTCATAAGGGGTTGTGGGTATGGTCTGTTTGGGGCTGACAGAAGCACTGAATTGGGTATAAGTAGAAAGAAGAGATGAGTTCACCCTCCCTTCCAACCACCACTACCACCAGCAGGCCATGAGGACTAGGAGTATATACTCTTATATGTAAAGGTAGACTACATGACATATTTTGAGTTTTTGGCCCCTCTGCCCAAAACAATTCCTCCCTATCTGCTGTTGACTCCCCAAATCTAATAAGGATCTTTCATTTATCAAAACAAGAAACCCCAGTCTCTTGCCATGGAGTCAATTTTGACTTATGGCATCCCCATGTGTTACAAAGTAGAATCGCTCCATAGAGTTTTCTTGGCTGTAATCTTTATAGGAGCAGATTGGCACACCTTTCTTCTGTGTTACTGCTGGGTGAGTTTGAGCTGTCAAACTTTAGGTTAATAGATGAGCACAAACTTGTGCTATCCAGGGACCTTTTTCATTTTTCAAAGAGAGCTGAAATACAGAAACTTAAATAAAGTAGAAGCATAAACAGGAGACTTCCTTCAAAGGGGATGTGAGGAGGAGAAGGAATGGGATCCCAGGGACCCTGCTTCTCTGTGGCAGAGAGTTGGGGGTCAGAAAGCAGGGTCCAGAGCTTCCCAAGGGTCACTCCCCTATCCCGTGCTTTTGCTTAAGACTAGCCCTGCCTGAGTCCAAAGAGGTTCCTTCTCCAGGGATCCTGACCCTCATCTCTCCCAGGCCCTGGAAACTTTGCCTCCTTCTTGCCAAAATTAAGGGACTCACCCCATTCTGAACAACTGAGTAGAAGCAGTAGGAGCAGGAGGGTGGTGCAGAGTGTTTTCTTCTCATCTCAGCAGAATCCACACAGGCTGGAACCCAGGGTGCTATTCCTTCTCCTCCATTTCTCTTTCCTTTCCCCTCACACACGCTGGCTGTGGGGTTTATATCTGCCACTGGCGGAAGGAATCCAGGATTCCTGGGTCTTCCTTCTCCTAGGGAGGAGCAGCCTACTCCATTGCTTTCTGTCAATCAGGGAAGAGGATCTGATACAGAGGCGTGGCAGTGCAGGGGAGAGATGCCACAGATGCAAGGATGGGACCCCGGAGGTGAACAGTGACGGGGATCAAGCTTCTCAGCGTGGACAGCATCGCTTTCTGATAAAAACTTTTCTCTACAGATGTTTCATTGATAGAAAGGGAGCTTGGACTTCCTTTTTCACATGTGGAGTTGGTCAGAGAAGGTATATATCAAGCTTGCGGGGGGCGGAGGGGAGTAGTGCATGCTGAAGGGAGAGCTAAGTGTCAGAGAGTTTAGAGCATCTTAGTACTTGCAAAAAAAAAAAAAAAAAAAAAAGGAGCCAATTGTCAGTGGGGCACAAACACCCAATCTCTCCTTTTAAAAATGGTGCTCTCAATCATCCATCCAAACCCTTTTTATTAGCTGATCTCCAGCCCACAGATTTATCACTTTGCTTTTACCACCTGGAGAGACCCTAGGTGGTGAAAGCCATTAAGCACTTGGCTGCTAACTGTAAAGTCTGGCAGTTTGAGTGCACTGAGAAGCACATTGGAAAAAAGGCCTGGTGATCTTCTGAAAGCTCACAGTGCACAGGTTATTTTGACACACACGGACTTGCCCCAGTCAGAATCAACTCCACAGCAGCTGGTTATTAATTAATTTAGGTTTCTTACTACTCAAGTGTCCTCACCCCAGCAAGCTTTTCTCAATTACTGGATGAAATTAGCTCACTTAAAGGTCCCATTAAATCTGAAAAGAGAATGCTCATGTTGCTTCTTCCTTCAACCCCCATCCCTGCCTCAGTCAACACTGCCTAGAAAATCACACTTCATTCCTGTTTCCATCCAAAGGCATTTCTCGCCACCTGTGGGGTCTCTTTCTGTCCCAGTGTCCTCCTAACTAGAAAAACCAAAGAAAACAAAAATAAAAACCATACTTGATGCCGTAGAGTTGATTCTGACTCCTAACTCTACACTTGATGGCACATAACAACAACAAGCTTTGGTGGCATGATGCCTAAGGTATTTGCTGCTAACCAGAAGGCTGGTGGTTCTAACCCACCAACCACTCCTCAGAAGGAAGACTGGGCAATCTACTTTTGTAAAGATGCTGCCTCAGAAACCCAAGGAGGGGTCACTATGAGTCAAATCAGCTTGATGGCAGTGAATTTTTGTAGCAACACAATAGGACAGAGACAGACTGCCCCATAGTGTTTCCAAGGCTGTAAATCTTTACCAAAGGAGACTGCCACCCACATCTTTCTCTTGTAGCAGGTGTGGATTTGAACTACCAACCTCTTGGTTAAAAGCCAATGGCTTGACCATTGTACCACTAGGACTTGGGAAGTACAGGAAGGTCGGGATTATATTTTATCTCTTAGATGGCAACTAATTCCCCAAAGTCAGTTTAATGACTGGTTAGTTTACCAAATATAATTGACTATTTTAACTGCTAATTTTATTTAAATGTATTCAGTATTCCCAAGAACATTATTTAAATATATTTTAAAGTATTTATATACATTTAATACTAACATAAGCAAATATGTTTTAAAAGGCTATATTAAGGATAATATTATTTTCCAAGTCACCAAAAAACCAAACTCACTGCCATCAAGTCAGATCAGACTCATAGTGACCCCTCCTTGGGTTTCCAAGGTGGTATCACTACAGAAGTAGATTGCCTAAACTTCCTTCTGAGGAGTGGCTGGTGGGTTTGAACTGCCAGCCTTCTGGTTAGCAGTCAGATGCCTTCGGCCCTATACCACCAACCAAACCAAACTCATTGCCATAAAGTCAGATCCAACTCATAGCCCTCCTTGGGTTTCTGAGACAATATCACTGCAGAAGTAGCTTGCCCAACCTTCCTTCTGAGGAGCTCCCATTTTTCAAGTCAGGAGGTATAATTTCATGTTGTTGTTGTTGTTATGTGCCGTCGAGTCAAACCCAACTCACAGCGACCCCTCCTTGGGTTTCCGAGGCAGTATCACTATGGAAGTAGGATTGCCCAACCTTCCTTCCGAGGAGTGGCTGGTGGGTTTGAACCGCCAGCCGTCTGGTTAGCAGGCAAGTGTCTTAGCCATTATGCTACCAGAGCTCCTTTTGTTTTAAAAATTAAAACTATTTATTTTGAGATAAGTTTAGATTTACAGAAGAGTTGTAAAAAGAGTAGTAATAGTAGTTGTTATTATTAGCTGCTGTGGAGTTGGCCCCTAACTCATGACAATCCCATGCACAAGAGAACAAAATGCTTCCCAGACCTTCAGGGTCATTGGATGGGTTCAAACCACTGATCTTTCCATCACCAGCCAAGTGCTTAACTGTTGGACCACCAGGGCTCCATTTCCTCAATATGTTGTATTGTTGTTGTTGTTTGCCATCGAGTCGGTCCCGACTCATAGCGACTCCTCCTTGGGTTTCCGAGGCAGTATCACTACGAAAGTAGGAATGCCCAACCTTCCTTCCGAGGAGTGGCTGGTGGGTTTGAACCGCCAGCCTTCTGCTTAGCAGTCAAGTGCCTTAGCCACTATGCTACCAGAGCTCCTTCTGTTAATAAAACATATATTTGAGAAAGCACATATTTGATATGTACATACTTGATAAAGATTTATATTCATAATATATGAAGAAATCTCAAAAGTCAGTGATTTACTGAGTTTCTGTTAAGAAGGTTCTGGCAAAACTGCCACCTTCCAGAATACAAGAGCCACAGAAACTGAAGAGACTTAGCAGGGTTAAGTTGATACAACAAAGGGAAATGATTCACTGGGCAGCAAGAGTCAGTGGAATGTGAGTGTGAGGAGCAACTTGTCCCAGATGAGGCCTAGCCATCAGTAGGAGCGGTGGTGCTAATACGTAGACCTTGTGTCCCCATCCTAAGGCCTGGTTGTCAGGGACTGAGGGCAAGCTGGGCTGCCCTTGCAGAAACTGGGAAGACTTAAGACAGGGAGCCCATAGGAGAAAAAGGTGGCAACACACACCTGTCCCAGTGAAGGGCCTGCACCCAGAGCAGATACGAGGGGTCAGAGAATGTGGCCTCTCCTGGGGGTAGCTCCATTAGCCAACACTTCTTTGTCCCACCATACACATGGGCACATTTCCTGCTTCTTCAAATCCTAAGCTCACACAGAGACTGTTTTCTCATTTTGCAAGAAAGCTGCCAAATCCAGCACCTGCTTTTCCCTGTCTTTCCTGATTCTATTCTTCTACCAGTCTAGAGGTCTCAGGGATGGGGGCAGAGTGAGGAAGAAAAGAGGGACAGATATAAAGTCTCTGAACTTCACTCAAGAGGTATGAGAACTAGGAGAGTACACAGGGCAGAGGAACCTATCAGGTATTATAAAAACTGCTGCCATCGAGTCAACTTCAACTCATGGCAAGTCCATGTGTGTCAGAGTAGAACTGTGCTCCATGGAGTTTTCAATGGCTGATTTTTCAGAAGTGGATTACCACAGCTTCCTTCCTTAGCACCTCTGAGTTGACTTGTAGTGTCACCATTTTGGTGAGCAGTTGAGCACATTAACCATTTACACCACCCAGGAACTTCCTTTCAGGTATTATTGTTGTTAGGTTCTGTTAAGTTGATTTTGATTCATAGTGATGCCTGTGAGACAGTAGAATTGCCCCTGGGTAGATTCAAACCACTGATCTTTCAGTTAGCAGCTGAATATTTAACTCTTGTACCACCAGAGCTCAGGTATAAAACCAAAAAAAAACCAACCCAAACTTACTGCTGTCGAATCGGACCCCTCCTTGGGTTTCTGAGGCAGTATCACTACGAAAGTAGATTGCCCAACCTTCCTTCCGAGGAGTGGCTGATGAGTTTGAACCACCAGCCTTCTGGTTAGCCATCAAATGCCTTAGGCAGTATGCTACCAGAGCTCAGGTATGTTGTTGTTGTTGTTATATGCCTTTGAGTCAGACTCAACTCATAGCGACCTCTCCTTGGGTTTCCAAGGCAGTATCACTATGGAAGTAGATTGCCCAACCTTCCTTCCAAGGAGTGGCTGGTGGATGTGAACCTCCAGCCTTCTGGTTAGCAGTCAAGTGCCTTAGGTACTACGCTACCAGAGCTCAAGTATAGGAAACAATTATTCATAGCAGTCTATAAACACACACTCACAGAGTATGGCTTCCACATACATTAGATGCACCTGTTAATAATTCAGTTATAGCTGTAGCCACCTTCTTGTGTCCTGGGAAAACCAAGAGGGAGGGAGGATTGTCAGAGACTGAAGCAGAGCTGGAAGGAGCAGCCTTGGGGGGCAAGTGGAGGGAAATTTAAGGCACCTGGCTCCCTGCCTAACCCTGAGAACAGAGATGCTTCTGGCTACAGGGACACTCCAGGCCATTGGTCTGTTCTGGAATCAGTTATAATGCACCTTAACCCACTCTGGAATCCATAATTCTCTTGAAGACATGGGCAGTCATTATTAAAGATCTGTGTTGAAGGGAGTACCTAGGGACAGAGAATTTCTGCAGAAAACAAAAGAAGAAATACCTCAGAGTGGTGTCCCCTTCTCCTACTGCTCTGCAATCCCAGCCACACCCTGCCAGGACTTCTCACTACTTCCTCTGGCCCTTTCTCCCACTTATTATCAGTTTCCTCTGACTATGTATGGACCTTTCTGACCCTCGTCTTGATGGTTCTATCCTGCTGTTTCCATGTTTTATTTTGTGACCTTTCTTGATTTCTCATTCCTCACCACTCTCACGATGGCCCTGTCTTCTGTACCCAATTTTTTTCTTCACTCTCCTGCACTACCTCCCTTTGGAAAAGGGTTCTCTATACACTGGGCACTCACAAAATAGAAGAGGAGCTCAATGAAGAGA